TCCATGGAGAATGAGCTATGGAATGGAGAGCTTTCCATGGAAAATGAGCTGTGGAATGATGAGTTTTCCATGGAGAATGAGCTGTGGAATGGAGAGCTTTCCATGGAGAATGAGCTGTGGAATGGTGAGTTTTCCATGGAAAATGAGGAGAGGAATGGAGAGTTTTCCATGGAAAATGAGCCATAGAATTGTGAATTTTCCATGGAGAATGAGCTATGGAATGGAGAGTTTTCCATGGAAAATGAGCCATGGAATGGAGAGTTTTCCATGGAAAATGAGCTATAGAATTGTGAGTTTTCCATGGAGAATGAGCTGTGGAATGGAGAGCTTTCCATGGAGAATGAGCTATGGAATGGTGAGTTTTCCATGGAAAATGAGGAGAGGAATGGAGAGTTTTCCATGGAGAGTGAGCCATGGAATGGTGAATTTTCCATGGAGAATGAGCTATGGAATGGAGAGTTTTCCATGGAAAATGAGCCATGGAATGGAGAGTTTTCCATGGATAATGAGCTATGGAATGGCCATGGAATGGAGAGTTTTCCATGGATAATGAGCTATGAAATGGAGAGCTTTCCATGGATAATGAGCTATGGAATGGTGAGTTTTCCATGGATAATGAGCTATGGAATGGTGAGTTTTCCATGGAGAGTTACTTGGTAATTTTTTCCAAGGGCTAAAATTGAAGGCACAGATGAGCCCCTTAGTCAGGGCCTTGAGTCCTGCAGGGGCAGCCAGAGGAATTTCCTGGATTTTTTTTGAGATTTCCTGGGTTCTGCCCTGCCCTGCACACGCTGCCTCCTGCAGCAGCACTTCTTGCTGGAGGTGCAGCAAAAGCAGCTTTGGGCCAGCACAAAACACGTCGTGATTTCATCTGAATGTTGTCACTGCGGGGGAGTGTTGCTAAAATTGTCACTTGGCTTCATGTTAGCAGTACCTGGAGGGCACGCCGAGGCGACCAGAGCTTCATGTCTTAGCTGCAAATTCCAGTTTATCTGTGAGCTCAGTGCTGCACTGGGGATATGTTGATTTTCAAATAGATACACACTTGACATCTTGATTTTTTTGACAGTGTAAGAATCTTATTATATCCCTACCTCTTACCCATATTTTCCTGTTCTATTTATATCCCTCCCAGGAGCTGTGGTCTCATCATTCAGCGTGGGGTGGGTTGGTCTGGGAATCAGCAGAGCCTTGTTAGCATGCCTGGGATTGGAAGGCACCATTCACAAATGGTTTCCAAATTGACATTGACATTGTGGCTTTTTCCAAACCATTCTGTGCTGTTGCCACGTGAGCCCTGCCAGATGACAGAGGATTTATTTGAAAGAGCACTGTGTTCTCTCCGAAAAGTCCCAGCTTTTTCCTTCCTAAATATTCTACAAGATTAAAAATAAAATTCAGTGCACTCTTCTTATTCTTTTTCATCTTTATTGCTGAAAAAAGGAGTAAAAGTGGTGGGGTTTGAACCCATTTCCTTCACAGAGGAGAGAAGAGTGGTAGTTGTGAGTTGTGTTATCCCCACATCCTTGCTCTGGTGTCACTCAGGACAATGGAATTCCTGCTCAGGGAATGCAGGTGGCATCAGCACAACCCTCACCAGGATTCAGAATGGTGCCTGCATCCTCTGTCACCAGGATTCAGGATTCAGAATGGTGTCACCAGAATTCAGGATTCAGAATGGTGCCTGCATCCTCTGTCACCAGGATTCAGGATTCAGAATGGTGTCACAGGGTTCAGGCACCATTCCAGTGCCAGGTCTGGCCACAGCTCTCTGCTTTCTTGAGCAGTAAAGTCTTACTCATTTTCCAGGAGAGGAACCCCTCTGCTTCCTCAAAAGTACTTGTAAATAATGTAATTTCTTACTTTTCAATGTAAATGAGGTCTGAATGAATAATGTTAATTATTCATTCATCCTAATTCAAACACTATTTTAATTAGCCTGTAGGCTCAATTTCACTTTCATGCAGCATGAAACCTCTTTTGATTAACAACAGAATTGCCATGCATTTCTTCTTTTTTTTCCCTGCTCAGCACATGTCTTTTTAAACTGCTTAAAAACAAAACAAAACAAATAAATCATTAATAAATTAATCAAATTTCAGTAGCATGACCTGGGAAGACAGAATTTAGGGAGGAAAGAAGTCTTCTGTGGATATATTCATTCTCCTTAACAACTGCCTTGAGGCTGTGAAGCCTTCAGAGAAGCCTTGTGTGAGGAGGTGCTGGTGAAATATGAAAATTTAGGGACCCTTCCCATCAAAGGGTAGGGACACCTTCTACCAGTTTGTACTGGGCTGGGGCTAAGGGGCTCCAGTTTGTGCTGGGCTCAATCCAAGGGGATCCAGTTTGTACTGGGATGGATTCAAGGGACTCCAGTTTGTACTGGGATGGATTCAGGGGGTTCCAGTTTGCACTGGGCTGGGGACAAGGGGCTCCAGTTTGTACTGGGCTGGGGACAAGGGGCTCCAGTTTGTGCTGGGATGGATTCAGGGGTTCCAGTTTGTGCTGGGATGGAGCTAAGGGCTCCAGTTTGTGCTGGGATGGAGTCAAGGGGCTCCAGTTTGTGCTGGGCTCAAGCCAAGGGGTTCCAGTTTGCACTGGGATGGAGTCAAGAGGCTCCAGTTTGTGCTGGGCTGGGCCCAGTCTGTGCCAGGACAAGGCCAGGAGATGGCTCCAAAGGTATTTGGGATTTCACAGCCCTGAATGAGGCTGCCTTGACACCCACATGGTGCTGCCCTCCAGGTCCTCTCCATCTCAGGGGAATGGGGACACTGCTGGAACATTTTCATTTCCTCCTGCCCCACCTCAGCTGTCCATCCAAGGGCTGGATTTGGAGCATTTTACAGTAACAGCTGCTGCACAGTGCAGTTCTTCCCATCCTGAGTGGCAGGAGGTCATCTCTGTTTGAGGAGAAAGCTGAAAGGAGGTGAAAATTTAAATGTTAAAAATGTTTAAATTCATGGCCAACCCCCCATGGGCTGGGCAGAGGAGAGGGCACACCTGAGGGGCCATTCCCAGCTGTGTTAACTCCAGAGATTCTCCACCTGAAGCTGATTTCTTTTTTCCCATCTACCTGCTCCAAATTTTTCTTCATTCTCTCTGGATGTCAGAGCCTGCAAAGCTTTAATTCAGGAGCCAGCCCACTGTCAGAGATAAACCTCCTGATATTTCATCATGGATCCTGCCTGCTCCAAGGAGCCTCCTCAGCTGGAAGTGCTGAAATGAACTTATGACAAATACAAGAAATGAAAGTCTCTCTCAAATGCACTTTCTGGCATGACTTAAATGAGCTGAAATTGCTGACATTCTGCCTTCCTCAGATGCGTGTCAGTGTCCATAGACTTTTCTTTCAAACATTGGAAAATTATTGAGTTAAATGTTGCCAGAAACAGCAGCTGCAGGAGCGTGGGTGTACATTGGGTGAAGGTTACTGTGATGTGGCTGGGTGCTGCAGAATGTGCCCCTCTAGCCTTGGCTGATCCCAAATACAGAAGGATCAGACAGAGGAGAGGCAGAATGAGCCCCTCTAACCTTGGCTGATCCCAAGGACAGAAGGATCAGGCAGAGGAGAGGCAGAATGAGCCCCTCTAACCTTGGCTGATCCCACAGAACGGAAGCAATTCCACTTGCAAGTTCTTGGGTTTGTTCTGCCTTGAATTTGGATGGGCTGAACCTTTCCAAGACTTAATGACTGTCATTTTGCTTGAACCAAAACATTTCCTTAAAGCTCAGGAAGTTCTTTGCCTGCTCATGGGTCCTCCTGTGTTTGTCCCAGCAGTCAGGGCTAGGACTAAATGGACAAAGTGACATTTTCTTGGCAAAGCCAATCAGCTCTTGGGCAGCTTCAGAGCTCCACAGCCAGGACCCACTAATTGCTTGTTAAATTGGGTAAATCCTCCTGCATCCCAGGGCTGTGGCAGCCCCAGTATGTATCTGTACATGGCACTCTGTGCATTGATAAAACTGCTGGAATTCAGGTTGGGAATCACAGGAATGATTCCTGTGGTGGTTTTGGTACCTGTCTGCAGGTAGAAAATGCACTGTGAAAAGCTAGCACGTACCTTGAGGAAATGTCTTAGATGGGATGCAGCAGCTTGTCTAAAAGTAAAGATTCTCTCACTGAAATCTGCGCTCATTTCAAACTTCCCTGTCCTTAACTCCTGAGGAATGTGACAGTATATGAAAATTTAAAGGCTGGTTCCTGCTGTTACTCCAAATTTACATTGGCAACAGTGGTTAATTAATTTCAAATTTACTCAGTAGTTTACTTTCAGTGAAAAGTGTGGCCTTGACATTTTCAGAGAATAAGAATTAGCCTCTTAAACTCCTGTGGGTTTTGTCTTGTTTTTAGTTGATGAATCATGAGGGGGGGGACGTGCCTGTCCTGTTGGTGCCCAGGGTGATGAGATGTGGTGGCACAGGGGTTTTGGGGTTCCTCCCCTCTGTTAACCTCCTGTTCCAGATGTGGGGTTCACCTGCCTTTGCTGCCCATTGCCCTTCTCACCCCCAGACTCACTCCCCTCATCTGGACCCCAAATGTGAGTGGAAAATGCTGAGTGTGGGGTGTCTGAAGCACTGTCTCATCCCACTAACACAAAATTCAAGTGCTCTTGGGTGCCTTTCTGAAATGGGGGTGCCATTGCTGCAGGAAGGGGCTGCACTGGGACTGGAACCTCTGGTCCCTTTGCCTGTTAAAAATGTGTTATTTCAGCCAGTGCTCTATGGAATGATGGCAGCAGGGAGAGCTTGGATGGAATCCTTGGGAGGATTGCATGCACCTCTGATAGCTGTTATCTGTGGAACACATCTGATTCAAACATGTTCTTCATGGCTGAGTGCAGGTGGCCTGTCCACCTGAGGGAGGGCTGGGGATTTTTGTCCTAATTGGTAATTTTAACGACACATCCTCATCCTGACTCGTTTCTGTTGGGATTCACTTTCATTTTCCTCCTATGTTTCCCAACTAAACAAATTGATCTTTGTAAATCACTCACTTTTAGGCATCCTCCCTGTCCCTCAGCTGGTTTTGAGCCTCCTGTCCCCACTCTCTGATGCTGGAGCAAGTGCTGAAGGATGCAGCCGCAGGCGCCCGGGGCTGTCTCGCTAACAAGGAGGTAAGATCACCCCCCTGGCTGCTGATTGCAGGTGACACAGCCAGGGCTCCATCCATCCCCTGCACTCTATCAGCAACCCTCCCTGAGACCCTGATCCTTCGGGGGCCTCATTCCCTTCCCTGTTAACAGAGCACCCACAGCAACCTCTCCTCCTGTTACAAAACTGCTCCTGAGCTGCCCTGAGTGTGGTTCAGGCAGTTTAGGCTGTTCCAGCCTCCCCAGCAATCTGTGTTTTCCTCCTCTGGTAACTCCCATCTCCAGTTCTCAGCCTGCAAACTCATGTCCCATGGGCCCATTTCTCAGCTGAGCTTGGGAAGATCAGCCTGGCTGCCAGGGATTTTCAGAGCTGCTGGAATTATGGAGCTGATCTTGCACCTAATATGGGAATCGTTTGTCAAGACTTTTGTTACTTCTGATCACTTAATATGGCTTTTTAAATACTCTCCTGTGCTATTTTTTTTTTTCTCTCACTGTCATGAAGGGATAAATCAAATGTCCTGCACAACCCATCCACACCATATCCCTGCTCTTGGCTTTTCAGTGAAACACTGAATTCCACCAGAGGGAGATCACATTTATATCCTTTAGTTCTGCATTGCTTGCATCTCCTCACATTTCATTATTTTGCTTATAAACAACCCTGTAGTTACGTGGAAGAAGTTGAATAGTTCCAAGAATTAGTTTTCCTGCAGTCTCCTGGAATTTCTTCAGATTAAGAATAAGAATTCTTAATTCTTATTCTAAGAATAACAGTTTCTTCAGGTTAAGATCAGAGTGCTAGAGATTTGTCCAGTTCTGGGTTCAGGATCTGTCACCAAATGTTTTTCTGATGTAATAATTTATTTTAATAATCTTTATGTCAAACTGATGCTTGACATCATTCAAAGTCTGAAAGATGCCTCATCCCTTGTTGCTCTGACAGTGTCCAACAGTGTTTTATCAGTTTCACTCCTTGGAGCTCCAGGAGGGCCTGCAGTGTTGCTGGGGTTGCTAAACTGGAGTTTCCAAGGATGGGATTTTTACTGTTAGGATTTCAAATTTAGTCCTGGAAAGGTTTGGGGTGGAAGGGACCTTGCAGCCCACCCAGTGCCACCCCTGCCATGGCAGGGACACCTTCCACTGCCCCAGCTTGCTCCAAGCCCGCTCCAACCTTAAACACTTGAACACTTCCAGGGATGCAGGGGCAGCCCCAGCTTCTCTGGGCAACCTGGGCTCTGCAGGCATTGGAATTTGGCAGGGCAGCCCCTGGCAGGCTGTGCCAGCCCCGCTCGGGAGCGCGGCCAGCCCCGGCAGTTCCGGCACTCGCTCAGCTCCTGCCAGCGCCCTCCCTTCTCCCCTCACCCCCCTCCACTCACTGCTCTTCTCAAAGTTCTGACAGGTGACTCTTTCTAACCAGGTTTTCATTGCAAAATCCATGCTGAAATCTTTTCTAAACCCTGGGAGGAAGGGTTTGAGCCTCCCAGTGGGGCTGGACCCAGATCTATCCACAGGATAGTTAGGAGCTCCTTGGCCCAGCCCTGTCCTTAGGCTGGCCCTGCAGGGTGGCACTGCTCAGGGTGACACCAGGTTGTCCTGCCTTTGCATCACAGGTGGGCTGGGCCATCCCTTCCTGAATTAGGACAGCAGTGTGTCCCATGGGTTGTGGCTGAGACCCTGATCACCAGCCCAGGCTTTAACAAATTCAAGTAAATCCTTTTCTCAGTGGCCAACAGCACCCAAAAATATCATGGGTGTTTGTCTTCCCATCCACTGTGCTTTGGAGTCTTCAGCTTCCACTTTAAATGTTTTTATCAACCTATGACATTCAGAGCAGCTGTGTGTCTGTCTTGGGCTGGGGAGTAGCTTTGGGAGCACTTTTTTAATGAATTTATACTGAACTGTTACTTTTTCTTCCAGCAGATTCCTCAAAAGCCTGCGGTGGAGACGTAGGATCTTCAAGCAAATTCTGGCAGCTGGATCCCGATAGCAGGTGGTGGTCACAAACATGGAGGGGTGTTGGGTGTAAAAGTTGAGTTTGAACCATTTAGGCTCGAGCTGATAAACTCATAAATATGTGGGGGCTCTGTTTGTTTTTTTAGATAAACTCACCTGACCACCATGAGTTGGAGTTTCCTGACCCGCCTGTTAGAGGAGATCCAGAACCACTCAACCTTTGTTGGCAAGATCTGGCTGACAGTGTTGATTGTGTTTCGGATCGTCCTGATCGCCGTGGGAGGAGAATCAATTTATTACGATGAACAGAGCAAGTTTGTGTGCAACACGGAGCAGCCGGGCTGCGAGAACGTCTGCTACGACTCCTTCGCTCCTCTCTCCCACGTCAGGTTCTGGGTGTTCCAGATCATCCTCGTGGCCACTCCCTCGGTGCTCTACCTAGGCTATGCCATCCACAAAATCGCCAGGATGGTGGAGCACAGCGAGGCCAGCAGGAGAGCCAGGAGGAGGAGCTTGCCCATCCGCTGGAAACAGCACCGGGGCTTGGAGGAAGCTGAGGGTGACCACGAGGAAGATCCCATGATGTACCCGGAGATCGAGGTGGAGAGCGTCAGGGAGAGCAAGGAGAAGCAGAGCCCGGCCAAAGCCAAGCACGACAGCCGGCGGCAGATCCGGGAGGACGGGCTCATGAGGATTTACGTCCTGCAGCTCCTGGCCAGGGCCCTGTTTGAGGTTGGCTTCCTGGTGGGGCAGTATTTCCTCTACGGCTTCCAGGTGAGCCCCGTGTTCGTGTGCAGCAGGAAGCCCTGCCCGCACAACGTCGATTGTTTCATTTCCAGGCCGACGGAAAAAACCATTTTCCTGCTGATAATGTACGGCGTGAGCTGCATGTGCCTGCTCCTGAACGTCTGGGAGATGCTGCACTTGGGCTTCGGCACCATCCGGGACACCTTGAACGCCAAGAAGAAGGAGATGGTTGACTCTGGGACCTTTAACTACCCCTTCACCTGGAACACACCCTCAGCTCCCCCGGGCTACAACATCTCCCTGAAGCCGGAGCAGATGCAGTGCACGGAGCTGGCCAACGCCAAGATGGCCTACAGGCAGAACAAAGCCAACATAGCTCAGGAACAGCAGTATGGCAGCAACGAGGGCAACATCCCCAGCGACCTGGAGATCCTGCAGAGGGAAATCAAAGTGGCTCAGGACCGCCTGGACCTCGCCATCCAGGCTTACAACAACCAAAACAACCCCAGCAGCTCCAGAGGGAAGAAATCCAAAGCTGGCTCCAACAAAAGCAGTGCCAGTAGCAAGTCAGGAGATGGGAAGAACTCGGTCTGGATTTAATGTTGGCTCAGTTGATATGCTGTGGTTTTTTCCCCCCTAGTTTATCATAACCAGCAGTCCCATGAATAATGGCTTCCATTAAGGGAATATTTGACTCTGCTGATTTTCAGGGATACCGTTGGCTCGTGATTCAGCCCCAGAAAGGGTTTATACACTGACTCTAGGACTTTAGAACTTTATTCTTTTGTCTTCCAAGTCAGGAGACAAATAGGTATATTTAATTCATTCTCATTGAACGGTTTATGCTGTATGTACAGTATTATAGTACATTTATTATGCACAATTTTTTTTGTATTTGTACACTGGATCTGATGTTACACTTTTTATATCAACAAGGACAAAGCAATGGATAGCCATTAGCATTTTGTTAATTTTATTATTGTTGTCTGCAGTTATGTCATTGTTCTTCCTTGTTTTCCAAGTAAAACTTTTTATAAAACTTTTCTATGCTGCGTTTCCAAAGTGCCTTGAATGTGAAGTGGAGTCTGTGGGCAGCTCATGGGTGGGGAAAGATTTGGGAAACCTCTGTCAGTGGTGCTTCTTTACTAAATTAATGTGCTGCTTGCAACCTGGAAGTGTCATCCCATAAGCTCCTGTGTCTTACAGTTTGAAAAATGACTTATAGGAAAAATATATGTGTGTGTGTGTGTGTGTGTGTGTGTAGGGAGCAGGAGTGCCAGTTGTGGGGCAGAGAGGGCTCAGGGTTCCTCAAACACAGCAGAAAGGAGGAGACACTTCAAATTCCTGCAAAACATCCTGGAAAAAACTGAATAAAAATTCCTGCAAAACATCCAGGAAAAAACTGAATGGAAATGTCTGGATTCAGTAACTCAGCGTGTTCCTGTGAGAGTGATGGGAAGAGAAATTTGTGAGGCCTTCTGTTGTGTAACACCCTGTGCCCAAGGGCAGGCAGTGCTACCTTTTGGGGAGGATTCCTGTGCTTTCCACATTAATGGGGTCAGATGGAGCCCTGGTAGCTCTGAGTGTGGAATCCCCTCCCTCTCCTGCAGCAGCTGCCTGGGGAGTCTCAGCCCTCTCAGAATATCAATGATTGTGCCTTATTCCAGACCCCTCTTCCTTCCCTTCTGTCCAAGTTTTGTTCAGACACAGCAATATGTATAATTTAGCTTTCTGCTTGACAGACCAGCCCGACCTGGCATTCTGTGGGTTTGGCATTCAACTTGAATTTACAATTAGCAGAAGGGGAGTGAGGGACTGATGCCTTTGGCTCTGTCTTTCTGGCAGGGAGCCGGCTCTGCTGGGAGAGACACTGATAAATGTCTCTGCTTTCTGCTGCTATTTATAAGGGATTCAGGACCTTGCTCTGCTCCCTTTCTTTTTTCAGGTTTCCATGCATTTTAATATCTTTTAGGGGCCTGTTTCAAGCAGGATTGTTCTCTTTCAAGGCTACCTCTGTCCCTCCTCAGATCTGGGTCAGGATTGATCCCAGAAGGATTGGGGTGGGAAGGGACCTTAAAGAGCATCTCATTCCACCCCTGCCATGGGCAAGGAGCCCTTCCATTATCCCAGGGTGCTCCAAGGAATGTCCAGCCTGGCTTTGGACACTTCCAGGGATGCAGGGACAGCCACAGCTGCTCTGGGCAGCCTGGGAGCAGTGAGGGATGAGGACACAGATAGATCCCTGCCCTCTTCCTGTCCCACAGAATATCCAGGGGCAGTCCCCACATTAAATTCACTCCAAGGGGACATCAGCATGTCCTTGCTGTCCCCTCTGCCCAAACACCTCCTGTAAATGGGTGTTGTGCTGAGTTGTTTTGCTCTGTTTTCCCTCTGGGACAGCAGGCAGGCCAGGCATGGATCCAGACTATCCCTGAGCAACCCTGCTGTGCCCAGAGCCAGCACAGCCCCTGTGGGAGCCCCTCTGGAGCTGGGGGCACCCTGAGAAGGGAATTGCCCCCCTGGCCTCTGGCACTGCCCCCTGGCTGCTCCAGGGCTGGAGGAGAGCCAGGGTGGTGTCTCCAAGGAAGCGTGAGTGCCCCAGGACGTGTGTGGCAAGTGGATGTGGGCAGGGGTGGCCCGCTGAGCTGTGTGGTCCAGGGCAGCTCTGCTGTTGTGTTTTGTGTTCCTCTGGTTGAACTGGCCTGGAGAAAGTCACAGTGGTGGGCAGGGGCTCTGAGTGTGGCTGGGGAGCTGGGTGGAAACCAGGTCTGAAAATATGAGGGAGAGGCTTGGAGCCTGGAGAGAAGCAGGGCTGGTGGCCACAGGGCACTCATCACCCCCAGCACTCCAGTTCCTCTGTTCAGTGTCCCTAACTCTGTTCAGTGTCCCAAAAAGGTGACATTTAACCCCATGTGCTGCTTTGGGAACAGCCTTTCCCCAGTGAGAGCAGGGAAAATCCTCCTCACTGCTCTCTTCAGTGTCCCGAAAATGTGACATTTAACCCTGTGTGGTGCTTTGGGAACAGCCTTTCCCCAGTGAGAGCAGGGAAAGTTCTCACTGCTCTCTTCCCAATCTACAGCAAATTCTGTCACGGACTTAGAGCAGGCTTCCACCTGCTTTTGTATCATTTTGTGTGAAGTCCTGTGGGCTTCTGCCCACCCAGTGAATCCCTGTTAATGAGCAGAGTGTCCAAAATATTCCAACCCCAGTGCTGGATTCATTCTGAAAATCCCAACTAATGGAGTTGTTTCTGTTGCTGCTTTTTGTTTTCACTTCCATTGTGTACAAAGTGCACATTTGGGTTGGAGCTGAGCGGGTGTTGCTGGTTGTGGGGTCTGTCCCAGCTCTGTTCTGGCTGTGGCTGGTTTTGGAATATCAAACTTTGTTTTTCCTTTTGAAAAAACACCAATAATTTGCTTTAAAATGCTCTTGTTTTGGCTTAATTGAAATAAACATCCAGGAGAGACTTTGGGACAAAAAAAATGCTGGATGGAATTTGGATTTTTGGTGACATTTTAAAAAATTGTATTAAATCCAGTGGATTACTCCAGTCTGAGTGAGATGGCTTTTTTTTTTCCAGCAATAGAATATGGGGAGCGGGAGGAAGAGGGATATTTAACAATTTGTCTTAGAGCCACAATTTGGAATTTTTTTAGATGTGACCTTATTTAGGTCAACAAATAGCTCAGAACGAGATGAGAATAGGATGAGAACAGCCACATTAGAAATGGGAAAACCCACCAAGCTGGGGAAAGGTGGCAGAGAGGGAAATCTGCATTTCTGCATATGGATGAGAGGCGGGCAGTGTTTGCTGCCCCGCTTGTGGCTGTCACCGGGTGGCTCCGCTCCGTGTCCCCGCTGTCCCCTCGCTGCCAGCCTGACCCCGGGCTGCGGAAGGAGGCACGGGCTGTTTGTCCTGCCTGCAGCTGGCACCGAGCTGGGTTTGATTCCGGAGGTTGGAACAAGAGCTGTTTGTCCGGAGGGAGGAAAGGGCAGCGGGGCAGGAGGGGTGGCGGCCACCCGGGCCAGCTCCAGCAATGACAAATTCTCTTTTCTCCACTGCCAGGGCGGCCCAAAGATTGCACAGCCTGGGAGAGGGGGTGCTGGGGCTGTACCCACATCTTCAGCTGGGGTTAAAATTATTTCAGACATTCTCACTGGGAATTTGCTGTTCAACAGAGGCTTCTCTACCTAAAACCACGAGGCTTCTAACCCTAAAACCAAGAGGTCTGACCCTAAAACCAAGAGGCTTCTGTGCCTAAAACCAAGAGGCTTCTGACACTAAAACCAGGAGGCTTGTGGCCCTAAAACCAAGAGGATTCTGACCTTAAAACCAAGAGGCTTCTATATCTAAAACCAAGAGACTTCTGATCCTAAAACCAAGAGGCTTCTGACCCTAAACCCCAGAAGTTTCTGAACCTAAAACCAAGAGGCTTCTGACCCTAAAACTGAGAGGTTTCTGTATCTAAATCCAAGAGACTTCTGTACCTAAAACCGAGAGGCTTCTGTACCTAAATCCAAGAGGTTTCTGACCCTAAAACCAAGAGGCTTCTGACCCTAAAACCAAGAAGTTTCTGACCCTAAAACCAAGCAGCTTCTGATCCTAAAACCAAGAGGGTCAGGGAATGCCTTTGCCAGCTCCATGCCTGGGAAGGGCAACACCAGCCTGAGCCAGGGTTCCAGCACAGGGATAACTGGGGCCAGAGCTGCTGCTGGACCATGCAGGGACCGCTGGGAGTTGGGCTCCTGCTGCTCCCAGACCCCCCCTTTACACACTGGGTGAGTCCCTGCAGGCAGCCACAGCCCCCAGCTCAGCCTTGCCCTGGTGAGATTTAGGGTCAGAAGTCTTGGGGTTTTAGGTACAAAAGGCTCTTGTTTTTAGGGTCAGAAGCCTCTTGGTTGTAGGTACAGAAGCCTCCTGGTTTTAGGGTCAGAAGCCTTTTGGTTTTAGGGTCAGAATCCTCTTGGGTTTAGGGTCAGAATCCTCTTGGTTTTAGGAGCAGAAACCTCTTGGTTTTAGCCACAGAAGCCTCTTGGATTTACGGTCTGAAGCCTCTTTGTTTTAGGGTCAGAAGTCTCTTGGTTTTACGGTCAAAAGCCTCTTGGTTTTAGGTACAGAAGCCTCTTTGTTTTATGGTCAGAAGCCTCTTGGATTTAGGGTCAGAATCCTCTTGGATTTTGGGTCAGAAGCTTCTTGGTTTTAAGGTCAGAAACCTCTTCATTTTAGGATCAGAAATCTCTTGGTTTTAGGGTCAGAAGCCTCTTGGTTTAGGGTCAGAAGCCTCTGTTAAACAGAAAATTCACAGTGAGAAGGTCTGAAATGATTTTAACCCCAGCCGAAATGTGGGTACAGCCCCAGCACCCTGCCCTGGTGACACATTTTGGGGACAATGGTCGGGTAGGATCCCATCCTGTGGTGGTTGTGTTTGATCCTGTGTCAGGAGGAGAAGCAGAGGTCAAAGTTGGGATCACACCCAGCACTGCAGATGTGGGCAGATGTGCAGAGCCGCTGGAGGTGCCCCTGGGTGTTGTGTGGCCTCCAGCTGCAGCTCCAGGAGGGAGCAAAGCAGCTCCCAGGGGTCCCTGTCACATCTGCCAGCCCTGGGAGGATGCCTGGGGTGCCTGAGGAGCTCTCCCAGCACCACACGTCTAGACGTGGTCCCAGAGGAGCCTTCGTGGTGCCTGCTGACAGCTCCACGTGCTTTTCCTCTGCTGGGAAGCGAGGGTGAGGGTAAAAATCCTCTCTGCAGAGTGATTGTCCCTTTGGAGGCATAGGTTGGCTGTTAAATATTGTTAACGTGAAATGTTCCTGCCTGTAGTTCAGCTATGATTGTAAGAAGTGAGTTACATTCCTGGAGCTTGATTTGTGAATAATTCAGGAATTCCTGCTCCCAGGAACGCGATTTGCTGCTGTGAGGCTCCATCCAAAGGAGCTGTTCATTGAGGTGTGCTCAGAGCCTGATCCCTGTGAATGGGACATGGAGCAGCTCCTGAAGGGCAGAGCCGTTCGCATGAGTTAAAGGATGCTCTGTTCATCCAAAACTC